GGGGGGGGGGGCGGAAGGAGGCGAGCGCCCTGCAAGGGATTCACTGCTGCTGCTACTACTATCACTGCTCAAGAGGCGCGCTTCGACCAGGGGCGGCCGGGCAGGCAAAGGGACTAGGAAAGAAGGGGGGGGGCATGCCCCAGGTGGCCGCCCGGCCTTGAACAGACGAGGGGGTTGGGAATGGACGGCGGCCGAGATAACAGGAAAAAACGGCAGTTCGCTGCTTGCAAAAAATAGTCTGGTTTGCTTCGGCGCGGCAGGCCCCGCTCCCAACATGGCGGGCGCGGGCCATGGGGCGCGAGTGGGAGCCGGAGGCAGGCGTACGCTTTGCGAGGCGCAAAGGAAGCTGCGCGGTGCGCGGGTCTGCAGGGTGGGGTGCCCTCTAAGCGCGCGGCCCCTGACGGCTGGGCGGGCGCAGGCGGGCGCGGGCAGCTGTCCAGTGGGAGCAGACTGGGAGGGTCGAGCATGGGGAAGTGGGCACCAGGGGAGGAAGGAAGGAGGGGCGACACACAGACCAAACGCACGCAAACGCGGCGGCTTTCCCAAAGGCGAAGGGAAGGTGTGACAGCCCCGCAGCCGCTGAGGGGGTTTGCGTTTTGGCATGGCGAACAAGCAACGGCGCGTGTGTATGGGAGCGGGGGCGCGTGGGAGCGCCTGCCTGGACGGCCCCCGGCTTGTGCGCATGCCAAAGCGAAACCAGGGGTCAAGTCAGCTGCAGGGTTTCAAGTGTGCGCCCGCAACGCCACGCTCTCTGCCCTTTGGGCGAATGTACAGAAGCCCGTGGGGGCCCAAAGCGGAGGCAAGGGGGCCCCACGCCAGCCTGCGGCCGGCCGGCCCCGCGCCGCGGCACGGCCGCAGCACGAGACGGCGGCCGCGCCAGCGCCAGTCCGAGAAGGGCTCGGGGCCGGGCGCGGCCCGCACGCCCCCTGGCGTCTCAGAACGGGCAGACGCGGCTGGCCAGCCACACGAGCAGCCGCGGGCACATGCACGCGTGGCGGCCCTCCTGGGGGGCCCCCGTGACGAGCTGCAATATGGAATCCGTGAGCTGGTCCTTGCCGCCCCTGAAGGCGTCCTCAAGCAAGAAGTCGGTGTGGGTCTTCCCCTCGAACAGGCGGTAGCTGCTGGGAACCTGCCCGGGGGCGGTGGGAGGGGTGGGGCGGCACGCGCGGCCGGGGGCGAGGGGGAGACGGGTTTGGCGGTGTCGGGGGCTCAGGTTGGGCTGGTCCACGAGGACGGACGAAGCCGGAGGCGCAGCCCCAATCTGTGCTTTATTTTTGTTCAGACCTGCTCATATTTGACAATACGCAACCGCTCATCAAGGAAAGCCACCAGGCAGCAACAGGCCGTGGCCAACCCACCCCGAGCTTCGCGAGCGCCTCGTGCATGAGCACGCTGCCCGCCGCCGGCACGCTCTTGTCCGCAGTCCCGTGCAGCAGCAGCGCCGGCGGGCAGAAGCGGGCCACCCCGGGGTCGTCCTTCGCCAGGGCGCGGGCGGCGGCCAGGGGGGAGAGGACGTCGTAGGCTACGGCGCCCTCGACGCTCATGATGGTGTCCAGGAGGCTGCGGTACAGGCCACGCCTGAATTTTTGGGGTGGGGGTGGGGCGGGAC